TAGCCCCCCGTGATTTTGTGCGCATGCCGAGCTGTTGGTGTGTCAGCTACAGGCCGCTGCGAAGTTCAACGATTTAAGCTCTCGCATTTGAAAATAGCACGGCTATGGAAGATTCTAAAGAGGCTTCTGCTACAGTAGGCAAACCTAGCTGCATATGGACTAACTCAAGACCATTGCTGGAAGAATGCACCAGCCTCTGTTACCGGGGTTTTGATAAAGAAGATTTTTTTATTCAGACCCATTTTATTTGGTTGCCATAAGACTTGCTGCTATTTTAACAGCAAAGCGCCGAGTAAAACAAGAGAAGAAGAGAGCGGCGATACTTATCAGGCAACCTGTGAAATGGTGAGCGATACAATAACACCCCACAAAACAGCCGTAGATGGTAAGTAAATATGCTTTTATTTATGATCATGTAAATGCTGGGGTGTGGGGGCTACGTATAGCTTTCTAATAGGTTATGGTTTATATTTTGCAGTATCTAAATTAGCACCACCTAGGGAGCAAAGATGTTGAAAAATGCCCTTTTCAGAACTCAGCATCCACCTGCCATCTTGCGACTTATCTGACTCAGACAACGACATGGTCTGTGAAATTTATAAAGGCGTATTCAGCAAAGGGCACTGGAGCTGCTCGGAGGGCTCGGATCAATCAGAGGGGTAACGCAGTTTACCTACTGAAGATGATGAGGGTTATTTTTCCAATGACGTAGATAAGCTGTACTGAATTGAGTTAAATAAATAAAAATTTTAAAAAGCTGTATATAAAAAGCTATAAAATAAAAAGATTAAAAAAAGATTAAAAAAAGATAAAAGATAAAAAGCTGTAATAAAGACAAAGCGTTATCATTCTGTCCTAGGATCAGGCATCATGAAGTATGAAGATGTTCTAAGGGACATTTATTAGACACTGGGGAGGCTAGGTAGTTATGCAGGGGTAAATTCGCTTTTTCAGGAGGGAAGAAAACATAATAAAAACCTGTCCATGAAGCAAGTCAAGACATGGCTTTCAGGACAAGATGCTTATACCCTTCATAAGCCTGCAAGAATTAATTTTCCTAGAAATAAAACAGTGGTGGCTGGCATAGATCAACAATGGCAGGCTGATCTCATAGATGTCTCCAAATTTTCTAAGGAAAACCATGGAAAAAAGTTCATCTTAACAGTTATCGACGTGCTATATAAATATGCTTGGGCCTACCCTTTACCTGATAAGTCGGGGAGAGAGGTCACAGCTGCCTTCCAGAACAGGATGTGCACCCTGAAAAATACAGACAGATGCCAGTAAAGAGTTCTTAAATATTCCTCTGAAGAAGCTTTTAGCACATTATGGCGTTCTTCACTTTGTCACCCATAGTGTGACTAAAGCAGCCGTTATAGAGAGGTTTAACCGTACCCTGAAAAATAAACTCTGGAGATATTTTACAGCTAGAAACACCCAGTGGTACATAGACATTTTACCTGCAATTCTGCAGGGATATAATGACACTTACCATCATAGCATCCGGACCACTCCTAATACTGTAAACTTGTCTAACAAAAGGGAGGTGTGGATAAGACTGTATGCGGATATTTTAAAAAGTAAAAGAATGGAAGAATATCTTAAGGTGGGCGATCACGTCAGGTTATCCCGACTGAAGGGGAAATTTGAAAAGGGCTATCAGCAAACGTATACAGATGAAATATTCATCATCAAAGAACTGTGGACAAGGGGGGAAAGAGTGGTGTATAGATTAAAAGATTACACTGACGAACCTGTAAAGGGGTCTTTTTACCCAGAGGAACTCCAAAAGGTACCTGATGACCAACAACGCATATACAGAATTGAAAAAGTCAGAAAAAGAGGGTGGGGAAAAAATAGAGAGATTCTGGTCAAATGGGCAGGCTGGCCAGAGAAATTCAACAGTTGGGTTAAGGAGAGCGAAATATGCCAACTTTGATATGGCGGGGTTTTATATCACCCTTCCCAGCAATGCATTGGCTGCTGCTTTTCCCCGAAACAAAAGTTCTAATTTTACTATTCAATTAGCGAGGGGATTGGATCTTCCAGGTTCATGGGAAGTAGGACTAGTAGAGATATAGTACCCGCATAATTGGAACTTGTTAACTTCGACTGGACATTTTGAAATCCTTACCGAGAAAAAGAGGTGGTATTTTTCTTTGAAAAGTGGGTACTATGCCAGCATTGAACACCTGGTAGAAAATATGAACAAGCTTATATTAGACACCGAGAACGGTCCTGAGACAACCCTGCAGGATGAGCCAGTGGTTCGAAAAATGAATCTTACAGGAGATGGAACATATGCCATTCTAGCTGGTGAAGAACTTGGACATATATTAGGTTTGTTCCCAGGATTCTGCGCCAAAAAATTTCCCTTTGCTGCAGATGTGACCAGTGGATTCAATACCTTATATGTTTATACAAACATCGTAGAACCCCAGATAGCACTACTGCGTTGCGTGCCTGTGCGGGGGCAAGACAACGATTTCATTATGGTAACCTATGATCAACCACATTACGTTCCGGTCAGCAAGCATTACATCAACACCATTACCGTGGAAATCAAAACCTATCAAAACAAAAACATCCATTTTTATCATGGGAAGGTGGTTGTGAAGCTTCATTTTAGGCCTCAGAAAAGTGAAGGATGGTTGTGATCAAGGAGCACGGGAGGCCCCAAGACTATGTGGCCTACTACACAGCACAAGCCGGTCATGGCCTTGCAGGCTTCCGAGGAACCCCTGTCATGTATGGGACAGGTTTAGAGGGTATGTTCCGTGGACTTTTTCGAAAAGCAATGCCTTTTCTAAGGAAAGGGTTA